TTGAGGTAAAAAATAACAGGTTAGGCATCAAGTTGTGTTCTGAAGCGAGAGAGTGTTCATCTTTACTTCAGGGAAGCCTTATAAATCAACATGCAAACAGAAGACACATACTTAATAAAACTTTAGCTCACAAAACCATTGATTAAAAACAATTGATTTCAACACAAGTGTAAGAACAAACAAGTCTGAAGTGTATCAGGAAGACAGAGTATATTAATATATATTTTAAGCTTATCATAATGGCTAAATACTGCTTCTAGCAATATAATTACTAAAGCCAGAAGTAACACAGTATTTTAATTCAGGGAAGGGTTTGTTTATGTACAGATCTTGAACAAATCTGTATTCCAAGAGTTTGAAAGACAGGTAGAGTAATCTGGGAAATTCAGCCCTGGGGCACCAGCACCATTTTCTTTAAACCACATCAATACTCTGCTTAATGAAGGCGGAATTTAACCTTTGAAGATCGCTTCTATACACCAAGCAGGATAAAGTCATCTGTCCCTGTACAGCTCAGAAATACTCATAAAAAGGCCACAGAAGTCAAAAGCCCTTTTCCAGAAAAGGCCTTTGTATGTACTGGTTTGACATCCTAAGAATAGGAGTGGCTATAGATTTGTATATTAAAATGTTATAATTTTAAGGCTTTTGAAAAGTGAGCAAGTTGAATTTTTTTTCTTAAACTACAGAGCCCATGCCACACAAACGACTATAGATTAGGAAAGTATTCCATCAACTGTTTCTAGAGAGTATCTTGGTTTGTGTGAGACACTGGAGAGGAAGACATAACAACAGTAAATAATAACATGAAGAACATGCAGGATAAGAGTTAAAGCTTTTGGGAAAAGTACCAACTTGCCATATGCTTAAATCTGATTTGTCTAAATTTATTAAGTTTTGGTGCAGAAAAGCTGGCTTGGGCAATTCATTGCTATTCCTTTACACTTCACAATACATACTCTAAAAAGAGTAACATTTTACTGACAGAAAGAGCTCCCCAGGAGAGTGCATTATCAAGATCAGAGGGCATCATACACAGTTGAAGCCAACCACAAAAGTTCAATGGTTTTAGTCTTGACATTTCAGACGAGCACCCTGTTTTCCGATCACAGAAAGACCAACCACCAAACAGCCAATGCAAGGACCACGAGAAAAGACATCATGAAAGGAATACGAGGAGATGGAAAAGTACTAAAGTAGAGGTGGCATTTTTTGAGAGACTTGTGATCCTCAGGGATTGGAATAGAAACCTTGGGAAGAATTTCTTCATTTTCTTGCTGGGGCAAGGCTCTTTCGGTAGATCTCTCTTGCTTTTTAATTTTCTCTTCATCCTGTACTAACAGAGCACGTTCTTGTGTCTGCTTTCATGGTAGAAGATCAAGAAAGACAGAGAAAGATGAACAAAATGACAGATGAAAAATGCTCAAAAATGATACTTGGGGATGTGCAAAGGATTTGGAAAGATCTCTTGGACACTCTTTATTTTAAGTAATTTATCCTGGCAAAGTTTCTATACACCGTAGGGTGCTCAATAGGTAATTTTTTGGATAAATGAACTATAGAACTCCTGAAAGTTCAAGAAATCATAGGTCTTCCTTACTTATATTATTTATTCCTCCTTTGAAGATATTCACATATGAATTTTGGGTCATTTTTCATTGCTTTGGTGCTGCCAATCATCAATAATGAAGCATTCTCCTTGCCATCAGAAAAGTTACTTTTATTACAAATAGAATGGCAGAACATAAAAAGTAATTCTCATATCTCTTCATATAGACTTTAAAAACTGCAACAGTTCAATAAGATAATTAGCATTTGCTCAAGGGAATAAAAATCTTAATCTTATACATTTTAAAGATGGCAAAAGAAAAACAAAAATATAAAAGTTTAAATGTGTCTCTAAGCAAGGTACAAAAAAAAACACACACAAGATCTCAAAAATTGTAAATTCTCTCCCTGTTTTTCTAAGAATCATGATTAAAAATAATAACCATCAGGAAGGTTTATACATTACATTAAGCAAATACTTTTGGCACTTTTAAGTTTTTTTTCCCCCAATTGTCCAATTGAGAAGTTTTTCTCCCACCATAATTTCTGTATTCTGCTATCCATAGTCAAGACAGATGTTATCTATGAAAGGAAAAACTTGGCTCTAAGTTCTCTCAGTTGAGCTAGCCTTCTCTGATCAGTTTGGAAGTTCAACATTGGTTCTTTGCACACCCCTAAGTGATATGTATCAGGGAGAAAGTAGCTAGGGGACTGATCAGCAAAAAGGAAAAGAAAGGATGCAAAATTATAATGATTTTTAAAATAAAATAAGGGAGAAGAAGAAAGACAACATAAAAAGAATAGGGTATAATTAAATTCATTTCTCTCTGAATACATATTTACATCTTCATGCAGCTTTTCAACCAGCCATGCGGTGAAATAAGCAAATTGAAAGCTGCAAAAGCTGCAGCAGTGGAAGTGTTATATGTTAGGCCAAAAGGCTGTGGGTGTGAATTTACGAGTAGAGCCAAAAGAAAAAAAAAATTATTCAGCAGCTGTTGTTCAGTTCTGGGGGGATTATCTGCTTAGTGCCATGACAAGAGCAAATTCTGATTGAGAAGCACAAGTCATAACAACAGCTTTACCTCTGGCCCACCAACCTTTCTTTCCGAGGGAAGGATAGAGGTTTTCTTCACCTGGTCATACACAAATTACATAAAATTCAGTTGCCATGCAATGCAACAACAATTCTGTCAAAGGTGGAAGAGGTATCCCCAGAGAACAGAAATATTATCCTAATTATCAAATAAAAAGTAAGATATGCTAGAAAGTAGAAATATCCCGATATAAAAGGAGATCACAGTACAGTTCTTATTTATTCCATTATTCATTTAGAGGGGCAATATATATAAGCACAGAGCTAAAATTGTTCAAGTACTCCCCATGGATCTAATACTGTTTATAAAAAGTCATTTCTTTAAAGTCCACAGAATGACATTGCTATTCCCAAAACCATCCCTGAGATAATTTCTGAAAGGTTTCTATTAAAAGATATTAGATATTTTCTGGAAATGGAGACTGATTCAAATTTACCCAACCTTATCCAAGAGAGTACCAAGTTACTTTTTCAAAGTAGTTGAGCATCTTTTATTACTTGCACAGAGTAAAACAAAAAACAAAAAAAACTTCTGGAAAATATGCAGTTATGGTTTGCAGACAGGGTTAATCAGATGAGATAGCAACAAGGCATTTTTCTCCTGGAGTTATAGACTTATAGAATTTTAGAGTTAATAAGGACCTTAGAGATCATCTACTCCCTAAACTGAGGCCTGACAAGATAAATGACTCGTTCATAACCATTCAGTTAGGTTTTTTTGTTTGTTTGTTTGTTTTCATTTTTTTGGTCTTTTTTCGTGACCGGTAACGGGATCGCAACCCTCAGTGTCGCGTCCGTACTGCGACCGGCAACGGGATCGCAACCCTCAGTGTCACGCCCGTACTGCGACTGGCAATGGGATCGCAACCCTTGGTGTCGCGCCCGCACCGCGTTCAACCAGAGAGCGGACCGGTCTCTATATGGGATCCGAACCCTCGATGGGAGCGCCACCGCGCTCCCAAGCGCCGCACTCTACCGAGTGCGCCACCGGGCCGGCCCTCAGTTAGGTTTTGATTAGCCGATGCTCTCAGTCAAATCAAGCCACAACTACTCATACTACTAGACACCTTATAACTCTTATTACTAGGGACATATCAAAATTAAATATCCGACTAATACTGTGAGTGGTGATCACACCCAGAAAGCAGGGTTATTTTCTAAGTTGAGGGTACATTATCTGGATTTAGAACACAGAACTAATGTCTATCATATCAGGGAACAGGGGCTGAGAGGACAGTGAGCAGGAACAGCAGCCTCCTAGCATCCTGATAACTATTTAGCTGCCCATTATTTGGACATTCTCCAGCCTTACTTGTAAAACTGGTTAAACTCTATTTGGAGAATTGTTAGTCAATTTTAACTACACTTTGAAAAAAATAAAAAGTACCCTTTGTGGACCAATTTTTATCACCTCCAGTTCCAGAAACTAAGCAATAATTTGGATAGTCCATCATGAATTATGAAAATAAAATAAATGAGTTTTTTATTCCATAAGACATCACTTTACCTTTCTTAACTAGAATTGCTATTGTTTTGGGGGGAAAACAAGCACATAACTTAAAAATCATTACAATCACTCATTAAGTCACTGTGACTATGTATATAAATATTTAACCTACACCATCTAAAGATAGAGACTTTTTGGACACATTCTCAAGGTTATTTTCAATAAAAAGATTCATTTATTCAGGTATAGAATTTCTAAAATATGTAATGACAACAATAGTAGAAAAAGAACAGCCCCTGAAAATATCTCTGGCCTCCTCTATCTACAAAACAGTTTATTAAAAGTTCGATGTTACTCATTAAGGTTAAAGAAACCATCAGTAGTTTTTATAAAATTGAAACATAATCATTAATACTGGTGTTTTGCATTCTCTGGCTTAGGGACCTCCTTGGTTTTTATAATAACTGTGGGAAACCATTCCAGACATTTCTAAGTTGTGCAAATATTCAAATAAAGTTTAAAAAAATGTTAATCCCTTTCCAATTCTGACTGTACTAAATTTAGTATACTTTCTGGACCTTGAAGGCACAGTTTGAGTATAAACAAAGCTCTACTGGCTTATGGTCAATTTATAAACACACACTAGCCAGAAGCATGCAGCTGCAGAAACAGTTCTCAGAGCCTAATCATCTACTGGTAGCTTTAAATGGCTCCCATAATTGGACTGCGAAATCTGTATGACTTAAAAAAATAAGTGTTTGATTATGAATGCCTTAACATTGAAATGAATTGGTGAGGCAGCAAAGCCAAATTTCAGCTCTAAACTTTCTCTCAGATACAGAATATTAATATACAAAAAACATTTATTCCATTCATTCACATAATTGATCATATGAACAAAGTACTCACTCCTTCTCCTGTGGGGATTTGCCCATTGATGTTAAGAGTTCGGAAGGGAGAATGAGTAGATAAGCGTTTATCCCATTCACTAGGCCGTGGTTCTGGTACAGATTCCATGAAGTTCTTTTTCAGTTCACTGATGCTGGCATGATGTTTTTTTATCTCTTCTTGACTCTTATCTAAATCCTACAGTTGAAAGGACAAACATCCAAAACAATAAATAATTAAGACAAAAAACAAACCAAGGACAACCCATCAGAGACTAGGCACTGGTAGAAAACACACCACATCCAGGATAGATGTTACTAATCCATAAACTGTAAATCGTAAATATACATGGTATATTTGCTTTTTTTTTTAATATAAGGTGCTTTTCTTGGAAGCAATGAGGCACCACAATCCCACAGATCTTAGCAGTTATATAACCCATAAAGAGCTCACTCCTTAATTTTATGCTCTTCTTCCCATTATGATGCAGCACCAGATCTCCAACTCCTCATCCCAAGAAGGTAATCCCACAACTCAATTAGAACTGATTTAGGCTCAGCTCAGGCAGGATGGAGATGGCAACACATGTTATTAAATGAAGGACATGGTGAAAGATTCAGCTTCCACCACTGGCTGTCCTAACTTGGTGAGTTGCAACCATACAGTATACCTTTATTTCTACCTGGAAATAGTTTTGCCTCTCTATTACCAGGTGGCTGTTTTTGCTTTTTGATAAATAGGAATAGCTCTCTTTTTGATACAAGAATTTATTACTGAAATTCCTAGTTAAAGCTTCCAGAGCAGATTGCCACTACCTCCAAAAAAATCACTCAGGAATATGTAATAAAAAGGCTTTTTTTCTTTGTCAAAACTATTCACACAAACTAAAGGCCTTATGCTTTCCAGCTTCTAAAAACTTTACTTTATCCCTTAGTACAATTCAAAATAGGGGCATTCTTCCAATAACCTTCAATAGACTGGGAGTGAGTTAACAAGAGTTCATCAAATACCTTATATATCTCCTTGACAATTTAAAATAATTCAACTGTTCCAGTAGATTTCAATACTGGGCAAGTAGAGGTAGGGACAAGCTCTTAAAGGGGATATTCTAGGGGAAAATGATCAAAACTAAGGTTAATAAAGCATGAGCTAGAAATAATAACCAAGTTTATATAAAAGGAGGTATATAACACTTTCAAAGGGTGATGACCAAAAATAGTCTGCTTAATATAACTTGCAGACAAAAATTCAAATGTTCTTTGTCCAACATTTCAAAAATACTCAAAAGGTGTATGCTTGAGATCAAAATATGTGGGTGCCCATTGCTTGATGACTGAAAAAAATTCTGTGTATATTACATATCAGGACAACTCTGTATCCAAGCATAATGCTAAATATATCTTTTAATATGCTTTGTGAATTTTGGCATTAGTCTTTCTTTTTTGAAAAAAAAAATTTGGAATTCATTTAAATCATAATTTGTTTAAAAGTTTTTCTGAGGGCAATATAGGCTTCAACTAAATAAACTGTTTTCAAAAGCAATATCAAAGGGAAAACAGTGTAGAAAAAAGAATCAGTGAGACACATAACAACAATTTTGAATCTGGAGGTACTCATTAAAAAAATTCACTGACTAGTCTATTCCTTTTATTTTGCAAGACTGAACCATACATATTTGATTTGAGATCAAAGAGAAAACTAACCCAAAAAGGGCAATCTGTAGCTCTCCCATAAGAGTATCTCTTGCTTGCTGGGGATGAAATGTGAGTATATTTTATGAATGTGGCTTTACCGTGAAAAAACAGCAGTTTGCGCTTCTATACTAGCTGCAAGCAAGAAAAGCATGTTTACTAGCTACTGAAAAGCATGTTGAGTTTAGCAACTGAGACCCACGAGGCATATAAGTCCCTGACTGGAAATTAAATCTGTCTGGGCCAAAAACAACATATTTGGGAGGGTTAAAGTGTGAACAGAGCAAAACAGAAATGAACAAGAGCTGCTATGGTAAAAACATAACTTTCTGAGTTAGTCTCTTAATAAGAGAGATTGGTGATTTGTTACTCTTCTTGCCTAGCTTTTGATTGGCTTGGAATCTGAGAAAATAAGTGTTTTGATAAAACAAGTATCTTCTGAGGGAGCTTTCTCCATCCTTCTTAGCTGGCTTTGTTGGAAACCTGTGGGGGCACAGAGTAAAATTAAGATCTCAAAGGGACCTGTTCCAAATAGAATTTGTCATAGACAATTGCTACAGGTTCTCTCTGGGAGATGGAGGAGGAGGTGGTAGATCTAAAAATGAACTCGACCTTATTTGTGCCAGAACAAAGCATTAGTGGGGGTGGGGTAGGAAAAGGGGGGAGGAGAAATGCTTTAAAAAAAAAAAAAAAAACCCTGCTAGAGTGACAGATAACTTGAGAGAATTTCCGTAGCAGGGAAAATCTTTTTATAGTAACTAAGGAATGATGGTCAGGCAAATTACTTTGGCTGTGTTCAGATTAGACACTTCTTGATGCCTATCATCTTATAATTTTAGCAGCAAGCAAACCAAACACTTCATTAAACACAAAATATTCTCAAAGGCAGTTAGTAGTTTTAATTTTCAAACACACTCTTATTTAGAAATCCCCTCTCATGGCTGTCAATGAAATGCTGAGGGAAAAAACATCACACACAGGACTAACTTGAGAGAATTTCCGTAGCAGGGAAAATCTTTTTATAGTAACTAAGGAATGATGGTCAGGCAAATTACTTTGGCTGTGTTCAGATTAGACACTTCTTGATGCCTATCATCTTATAATTTTAGCAGCAAGCAAACCAAACACTTCATTAAACACAAAATATTCTCAAAGGCAGTTAGTAGTTTTAATTTTCAAACACACTCTTATTTAGAAATCCCCTCTCATGGCTGTCAATGAAATGCTGAGGGAAAAAACATCACACACAGGACTTTGTGAATCTCAGAAGCCATAACACACCTCATGGAACAAATAACAAATATATGATTGGCACTGTAGGTTCCAGTTGAGAGGAAGCACTGAAAATGGACTAGTCACGAAATACACATGCTTAGAATTGGGAGATGTTATGTTGCTGAGTAAAGGAGATCAACCGACATCTATTATCCTTTCTAATCTCTGAAGATGAACTAAGAGATCTAGTTGCCAAGTTTGAAATTTCTGAGGGTCCAGCCTTGGAAAACTTCAAGTTACACAGAACCAATGTATGTAAAGCACTTGGTATTGTGCCTTCCATGTAGTACGTATTTAATGAAGGCAGGTCATAATCTGTATTACTTTTATCAAAGTACTTTATACATAGCAGGTACTCAAAATATTGGCAAAGAATAAGATGAGATTAAGTAATTATTACAGGCCATGTATTAAACCGAGATCTATTTTTAAAAGTTTCTTCAAACTTCCAGTTTAATAATATTTATCACATTTAATATGTTTATCTTTCAGGTCTGTGCTAAAAAGGTACCTCTTCAGAGAGACCTTCCCTATTCATCTTATTTACAGTAGATCCCCTATGTTAGCAATGCCTACTGTTTATTTCCTACATAGCTTTTATATTAACTTGCATTCATTTTATTGCTATTTTTAAACTCATTTATTGTTTTTCTCTTTCCCCAAATCCCCACATTGTAAGTTTCCAGAAGGCAGGAACCATATCTGTCATCTTCCTATATATTTATATTTCCTTTATATTTAAGTTAAATCCCTGATGTAAGAGTTTATACCCATTTCTTTTGGCTCTACCTTGAGTGGAGCTGTAAAATAATCTGGTCATCAACTTCTACTGAAGAGTTTTCTGATGTGTAAATTAACTTGGCCTCAGTTTTTTCCACATAGAATAACTCCAGTTTCCTTAATTTTTCTTTATAGAGTTCCCCTAATCTTCTAGTTAGTTTTATATTTCCCTATACTATTTCCCTATACAATGCAAGAGCCCCAAACTAAAGTATACTAATATAGGTCCAGTAATAAGCTGACCAAAATTGAATATAATGAGAAAATGACCATACGATTCCTATAGCAGACATTGTTGATATTTCTGAATGGAAAACAGTGTAGTTTAACAGGTAGATCCCAACTCAAATTCTAGCTTTACCGATTTACCAGCTCTGTAACCACAGGAAAATTACTTAATTTCTCTGTTTCAACTTTCTCTTAAAATAATAATCCCATACTCACAGTCCTATTTTTATGATTACACTTATATTAACTTATATCTTAGTAACTACTACTTAAATGCTAGGATCTCTTCTTTCCTTCCTGTATCTTACTTTTTCTTTCCCTGATTGTTCTTCTGTCATTTTCTGTTATCTCCAATATTTTAAGTCCATTCTGAATTGTGATCATTTTTCCACTTTTCCATACTCTTTCAGTTCAGAAAATGAAAAAAATTGTGCAAATTTGCTTCTTGGGACATACAGAAGTTTATACTCTTGAAAAGTTCAAGGAACTTTTAGCAATTATATAGAAGAACTTTCTAAAAGTAGGTAAAACAATGGAACCGGAAGTTATAGAGGTAGTCCCAATCATATATTTTTTTAGATAAGTATGAGAGGTGAAAACTATAAAGAATTAGAAGGAGAGATGATGATTGCATAACTTCAGGTTTACCAACATGCAAAAGCATTTTAAACCTAAAATCCTCTCATGCAATGGCATGCAAAACCCAATGCAGCATAGAATGAATAAAAAGGGATCAGCAGAGAATGCAGAAGGTTCCAGGCAACCAACTGAAATAAGCTTCAAGTTCATACAAACCTCCAACATTAAATTGCTATGTCTGATATAAATGTTTTCACCATCTAGTCTCTCTCTCTTTTTCTGTGAAAATGAAAGGGGGAAAAACAGAAAAGCATAAAAAATTAAAATGTTGTTCTTGCGGGAAAAAACTGCAAATTGGCAAACCAAAAAATATTTAAAATCAAATGTCTGCAGCACAGCATATGCCAACATGAAATGGTCACAGAACCACAAGGACACACAGACAACATGGTTACCACTAGAAAATGGATGAACTTGTTCATGGAAGATGAAAGAATATGATGTTATTTAAATAGACAGTGCTCCTGGCTTCACTGGCTTCTTATATAACAAGGTGTTTTCTGTTCATTTCTGAAATTGAACTGTTTGAGGGTTATCTTAAAATATATGACTTTAAAAATCTTTGAAACTCCATGTACCACAGAGAGGAGAAATACTTTAAAAACATAATTTTTCACATGTATTCCATGCTTCATAATACTGCAGTATGTAGATTTCTAATACCTTTTTATAAGAATGATCTAAGGGCATGTTATACATGATCAGTCGATAAATACATTCAGTAAGAACTGATTCATGCCATTCTGTAGCTGAGAAGAATGAGGCACCGAGAAGTCAAATCTGTAGTTATTAACAATTCTGGGAGTTGCTGCTATGATGGTTTTTATGGTAAATGTGCATAAAATATTGTCAATGAGTCTAAGAATATGATGGCATTGTGAAATGCAGTTCTTATAAAGTTAAATATAGAGGATAGGTTAGACCCTCACTGATTATTCATTTTGTTTAAAAAGATATTTTCCTCCTGGGAAGTTTTCTTTAATGAAATCTTTTAATATATACTATAGGATTATAATTTCTTTGGTGTATATATGTGTATATGTACATATATATACTATAGCTACTATAGCTGCTATTTGAAAGTAACCTCTGATTAAGAAAAACTGGTGAAAAGAATGGATCACTGTCTTTTTAATGCATTGTAAGTCAGCATGTATGAAATGGCAATGCAGTTCTGTGAAAGTGAAAAATGGCTAACCTTCCTCATTCTTATCAGATCTTCAGTTTTTTCTGCAAGCTTCTGTTTTGCCATAATTAAAAAAAGAAAGAAAAGTGATAAAAATTGGCTCATTGAAGTTTGTTTGAACCTTCATTTTATAATTATTTTAAGGAGAGGGGAGTGAGGGAAAAGGAAAAACTGAGGGGGTAGAGGGAAAAAGGAACAAGTGGCTTGTTGGCACAAACCTGTATTTGGTCACCATTTGAGGTGGGTACTGTAACCTCGATGTGGGTTTTTTCCACCTACATTTAAGAAATATAGTAAAATCATTTTAGGTTAGTAGGTTTCTATGAATAGTGTTTCCAAATAAGCTGAATCTTTAAGCTGATTGTGAAATATGCTGATATGTAATCATCATAATACAGTCTTATGGAGAATGTACAGGGAAGGATATTACTCCCAATAGCAATCTTAGTTCACCATCACATTTTCAAGACTGAAGAGGTAATACAGATATGCAAATTATGGAAAAAGAAAATTAAGGTAATTATTCTACTGATGAAGAAAAACATATACTTCTTTATAATACTTTAGGCTTATTTAGTGCTATAACAATATGTTTTTATTTTATCTGTTTTTTTTTTAAATGATCTGAAAGTACTTTAAATAACATTTGAAAACAAATATACAAGGGCTGGCCAGTTAGCTCAGTTGGTTAAAGTGTGGTGCTGATAACACCAAGGTCCAAGGTTTGATCCCTGTATTTGCCAGCCACTCTCCCCCAACAACAACAACAACAACAACAACAAAAATTTACAAATGAAGATATCAATGTATGACATACATGATAGTTAGAAAAAGAAATCTTTACAGTTAAAATACACATGCAACAAATCACATATAACACCAAACAAGTAAATATACAGATTTTGTTAGTTTATCAATATGTTTCAAGAGGTAGTTTCATCCTTCAGTTTATTACACGACAAAACATCAAAATAAACTCAACCCAAATTGTAACTGACACATGCAATTATTTCCAGGGCTGATTTATAAGTAAGCATACACAGGACTCAGATGCAACATTCAATATGCTGCAGTCTCCTCTCTAGGGAGTTGGAGCCCATGTGTTTGGTGGAAGAGCAAGATTCACCTTTAACAGTAGGAAAAAAATAGTTAAGTCCTCCTGCTTAGTTTTGAAATACCTTTAGTAATAGTCATTTTATATAGAGAGAGTAATTATTTTAAAAAACAGGCCATTTGGAGGAAGCATAATAGAGTAAGCAATGCCTCACACATTGAATATTTCAAAATTAGAAAACGGATTGTTTTTATTATGGGTTAAATCGGTCACTTTACATCACTAAGTACTTTACAGAACCTCATCAATCTGCGGTTTTGACATGTTTTTTTTAATCACACTAAGCAACATTACTTCAGAGTACAATGTCACTGTGTTATTTTCTCTAGGACTGAATGTAAAAAACATAAGATAACACTAAACTTTGTGGCACCGTCTAAGCATATCCAGTGATAGCACTTTTAACTAGTAGGGGTAATTAACAATTTGGTTCATTTCTACTCTGAATCCCAGCATTCTTGCCGTGTGGCCAGATAATAAGCAATTATTTCACTTCCCTGAGCTTAAATTTTCTTATTGATAAAAGGGAGATACTGTCCTCATAGAATTGTATACACTTAACAAATGGTAGTTTTAAATTATTTTATAAAGCTTAAATTCCTTTTTTAAATGATTAATGACTTCTTTTTGCTTTGGGTCCTTATCAATCCAACAAAAGAAAATTGAGAGCCTCTACTTCAGTTCAAGAATTGAGGCCAAATAGCAATAATTATAAAATGAAGGTTCTATATATTTCCCTACAGAGAACATTAAATTAGATAACAATATACATGGGGGAGAGGTACTATCTCCACACATGCAGAATAAATAGACTTCGTCAAATGACCCGAGATGACAAAAAGCTATCTGTATCTGGCACCAAACTAGTGTTAGATAATGAAAGGCTACTTATTTATTTATTTTTTTTTTTTCCTTTTTGTCTTTTTTACTGACCGGTAACAGGATCGCAACCCTCAGTGTCGCGCCCGTACCGGGGACTGGCAACGGGATCGCAACCCTCGGTGTTGCCCCCGCGCCTCGCTCAGCCCGTGAGCAGGAACCGGTCTCCACATGGGATCCGAACCCTCGGCGGGAGCGCCGCCGCGCTCCCACACGGCGCACTCTCCAGTGCACCACCGGGCTGGCCCGAAAGGCTATTTATTACTACTACTGCTTTACATAATAAACATGGCTTCAGGTAAATGCCATAATTTTCTAACTGCTACAAATAAAATCAGCTCAGAGTCACTCTTAATTCTGCCACTAATATTACAGTAATAGGTTATCAGAGGTGGCTTGCAGTTTCATTTCAATACAAGTATCTCAAGGCATATGTTTATATAAGATTATTTGGCAAGAAGACCCCCTAACAGCACTTAAGTAGAAGGCATCCACCAAAGAGTGATCTCTTCACTCTGCCGAGGTGCCAAGAGCAAAGGTAACCTATTCTTGAAGATATTTGTGTCTGTTTTATAGACAAAAGGAGAATAAGTAAGTTAGCAGAAAGCCAGAGGAATCTTAGCCACTTGGGAAGATTTCTCTAACAACTTTAGTAATCCAACACTTTCTAGTCAGTACAAAAAACAGAGGGACAGTCAAAAGTTACAGGTGAGATATTCTAAATTAAAAACTGAGGAGGTAGTCTGACATTAAAAAGGCATTATTGACATAGAACTTGATGACGAATGTCATGAATATTTGGCTAGGTACAAAAACTCAAACTCTCACCATTCACTCAATCTTTTTTTCTCTCTGGATTCAATGCAGTTTCAAAAGAACAGTAAACTGTATGTCATATTTAATAGTTTGGTATTTTAAATACAGTTAAAACATATAAAAGATCAGTCCAATTACTGTTACTCCTGGAAAATCGGCTAATTTGGCAATTTTTCAACACAGTGCAGTGACTATGGATAAAATCAACTCAGAACCATAAGCAATTCAGCAGCATAACCTCTACTACATAATGGATCTTCTCTTCTTTGTAAAGCTACATAAGATTTGAACTACATAGATGTGCTTTATGTAATACCTATTCTTGGGAAACGTTGTGCACAGATCCATTTTAGGAAATCAAATTTTATTTTAATCACAATAGAAGAGCTTACTCTTAAAATGCAACATGGATATTCCTTCTGGATGAGTTAAATTATTTTAAAAAGCAGATGATCACCATGCTGGTGTGTTTTATAAGCCCGTTTTTAAAATACTAAGTTGGGTCAAGGTGTGGGTCACCTAAAAACTTCTGGGATAGCTTACAGTCTTTATGACATAATTCTATGAAAATAACTTACAGGTTCATGGGAGACACCTTCTTTCAGAAAGAATGAGGAAGGAATAACTTTGTTAGAATTCAACAAGAATTAAATGCTTTGAAAATCCTCCTGCTCAAAGAGTTAAGACCTCGAAATCGGAAAGTGAATTAGCTAGATATTTGGACTGATGACATACCTTCCACGCTTCTGTGGGCTCTGGCTCAGCTTGCTCAGATGGCTCTTCTTCCTTTTTCACTTCAACCTTCTCTGTTTCCTTCTGTACTTTAGAGACCACTGTTTTTTTGACAGATGCACCTGGAACGCTCCCTTCTGCGACCTGACTCTGACCAATGGCTGGTGCAGAGGTGGGCCGAGGACTTCGGTCTCCTGAATCAACAGCTGCTGCTATGTGAGAAAGGGAAAAGAAAAGAGTAAGTGAAGGCAAGAGCCAACGTACTACTGTAAAGTCACCAGGCAAAATAATTGTGAATTCAGGACACATATGAATGTTTCAGTGTCCAGTGCGCTACTATACAGAATATAAAAAATAAATCATTAGTGCTCTTCCAGGTACATAATGGCAACAAGAGAGTGAAATGTACCCTCAATCGAGAAGCTAAAATATGCCAGCAATCATGTTTCACAAATGCCGAATTCAGGGTGGGGGTGGGAAATCAAAGTAAGAGACAAATTAAAAATCCGTTAATCTTATAATCTGTTAGTTTCAAGAACCTGCAATGTAGTCTTTGGAGATTAAAAAAAAAAAAAAAGAGGGTTAATTAAGTCTTTTTTCTCCCATGAAGCCTTTTTGAAATAAAGATCCATTTATTTTTAGATGATTTCAGGAACTTAAAAATATATTCTAGAAAAAAAGAATTACATCTGATTTCTTCTGTAAAACCTCCTTGGAAAGATTACAAAACAACTTGATAAATGGTCTTCTAATAAGACATGTACTATTTTTTGATGCTTGTAAGGGCAAATCTTTGAACCAAACACTTTTCCTTTTAATAATAAATCATTTGGGGCCGGCCCGGTGGTGCACTGCTACAGTGTGCCGCTTGGGAAGTGCGGTGGCGCTCCCGCCGAGGGTTCGGATCCCACATACAGACCGGCCGCTCACTGGCTGAGCGAGGTGTGGGAGCAACACCGAGGGTTGCGATCCCGTTGCCGGTCCCGGTCCGGTACGGGCGCGACACTGAGGGTTGCGATCCGTTGCCGGTCACGAAAAAAAAAAAGGAAAAAAATAAATAAATAAAAAAATAATAATAAATCATTTGATTAAAATAATATGAATTAAAAATCTTTGGATTTTAGTTTTAAAAATGAAACAAAAACACCTTTTGAGTTCTGTCCTACCCTTGCCCAGAGTCTTGTTAGTTTGTATTATAACTCCTATTCTCTAATATATGTAGAGCAGTGGTTCTCGACTGGGGGTGATTTTGCTCTCAGAAAAAATATGGCAGTATCTGGAGCCATTTTTGGCTGTTACAACTGGGAAGGGAGAGAAAAAGAAGGTATGTAGCTAGTGCATAGAGGCCAAGGTTGCTAAGACTGAGAAAACCTGATCTAGGGAAAAGGCTGTGTAGGCTGTTTGAGAGAGAATAAATAATACAGGCTTATGATAAAAGTTGAATCTTTTTACAGAGTTGTTATTTTGGTTTGAACTATTTGGCAGGTAAATTTTAGATAGCTTACTTCAAAACAACTGCTTATACTTTTTAAGGTTTTTATCTTCATTCTTTCAGGAATTAAAAGAAAAGGTCTAAATACTTTGTAGTAAAACCTCAGTTATCTGACATTGTTTAGAAATGAAGGTGTTTTTGTGCATGATTTACTATTTCCAATTACAGATCATTATCCTTTCTTGTTCTGAGGCTTTTTAATCTTTTTGCATGGAAATCTTTACAATTTTTATTACACACTTTCCTGCTTTCTTAAACTGACTATATTGAAAGTAATTTATCCTGATAAATTTAGATTTATAAGCTATAAGGATTAGGTACAAACAAAGGAATTCCACGTATCAAAACAGATTTAAAAAAATGAAATTCACAACTACTTCTATACATAAGACCAAGAACAAAATGTTTGTTACCCTGTAATGATCTCCAGTGAAAGAAATATTCCTTAGAGGAAGCATAGGAAAAATAGCAGACACATAAAATCTACTTTATCCTTCAATAAAAAATCTGTAGCCTCTTGCAAGTCCCTGCTACTTACTTACTGGTGCTCTAAGACAGTCATTCAAAGAATGGCAGATGGCAGACCAAACCTAACAACACAAGGCAATGTGACAAAATATTTTGTTCTCAGTTGTGTTAAAGTATCATTATACATGTGTATTCACACCTCCTCTCAAAGAATTAATTCAATTCTGCCTGGCATCATAGAAACATAGCCAATGCTTTCACCATGTGTTATTTTGCCACTTGCATTTGGTTTTAATCCAATACTAATATTGCAGAGCCAAATGATTTATGTCTTTAGCATTCCTAGCCTTGGCAATCTGTACTATATGTGGAAAAGTAGGTATAAGTGTGGAATATGGCAGTTAGAAACAGGGGCAGAAACAGAGTTCAGAGACTGGAAAAATAATAACATTATAATGAAAAGCCTTGACTGTGAAAAGCAGCATAGAACCAAGGCAAAAGCCAAATCACAAAGTCTTAGTCTCAAGCTCACATTAGTCACACACAGTAGTATGACTCAGGGTAAGGAACTTAATCTTACAAACTTTAGTTTCATCATTGTAAAATGTCGAAGGTATTAACTATATCTATAGGATAGGTGGGGGATGGATCCTCAATGGATATAAAAATACTTTATACACCCTAAATACTAATAACTTCTAATATCATACCTAAGTCCTTATTACTTCTTTGGTCATGGGTTAATTTTTGTTTGTTTTAGTTCCCCATGGCTGTTTATTTTTTTTATTGAAACATAACTGTACCTATCTGTGGGGTACGGCATTGAATATCAGTACCTGTGTGCAATACATAATGCTCGGTGATGGATTAATATTATTTTAAGAGTTTGTTGAGCAAAAATAAATTATGTACACATTGATATTCAATTCAAATGAAAGATACCACCTAGGAGCCCTGGAGAAAGGAAAATTTCTTCTATTTTCTCAAAAAGGAGATTGCAAACTAGGGATCACAATGGAATATCATGATAGTGGGGGCTGGCCAGTTAGCTCAGTTGATTAGAGCATGGTGCTGATAACACCAAGGTCCAGGGTTCATCCCTGTACCAGCCAGCCGCCAAAACAAAAAAAAAAGAATATCACAGTAGTGATTGTGAGGTTGTTTTATTTTTTTAAAAAACAGCCTTATTGGGGCCGGCCCGGTGGCGCACTGGATAGTGCGCCGCTTGGGAAGCGCGGTGGCGCTCCCGCCCGAGGGTTCGGATCCCACATACAGACCGGTTCCTGCTCACTGGCTGAGCGAGGCGCGGGAGCAACACCGAGGGTTGCAATCCCGTTGCCGGTCCCCGGTCCGGTACGGGGGCAACACTGAGGGTTGCGATCCGTTGCCGGACACGGAAAAAGACAAAAAAGACAAAAAAAAAAAAAAAAACAGCCTTATTGGGCTGGCTAGTTAGTTCAGTTGGTTAGAGCGCAGCCTTGTAACACCAAGGTCAAGGGTTCAGATCCCAACATTGGCCAGCCACCAAAAAACAACAAACCAATATAAATAAATAAATAAATAGATAAATAAAATAAGAAAATCAAAAAAAGTGAATGATCTAACGGGTCTGGGTTCCTGTACTGGCCAACCGCAAAAAAGTATTTTAAAAATAAGGTCTCTGGCCATACAACCCTAAAGGCACCCCCTCTGGTCTAAAAATAAGAAAGCTCAGTTGGTTAGAGCACAGCTTTATAACACCAAGGTCACAGGTTTGGATGCCATACTGGCCAGCTATCCAAAAAAAAAAAAAAAAAATAGCCTTATCAAGATACAATTCATTTATTTAAAGTGTATAATTCAACGTTTTTTAGTATATTCACAGTGTTGGCGGGGTACTGATTTTTTCAAAAGGTGTTTTGGCTCTTAATTAATTTGTTAGTATTACAAGATTCAGGTGCATACAAAGAGAACACTTAAAAAACTCAGCATCTCCCATTTCTGAAGGTCTAGACAAAGAAAAGTGCTGGTGCTAATACTCTTATAGGCCCATTAATTTCAGTATCATATTGCTCTTGGCTGATAACAACAGAAATTATATACTAGCACAGAAAAGAGTAAAATTCAAAACTTTTATACTAAATAAAGGGAAACTCAATTTTTATCTGTTACTTGCTAGCACGATTTCTGCTAGTATGATAAAGGGGCAATAGAATCAGTGGGTTCCATTATAAGAAAGCTCACATGAATCATCTGTGGCTCTTTAAAAACAAATAAAAAACTAGCTGATGCTCACTCATGTCCACCCCAGACAGATGAGGTATCCAAGAATAAGGCTTTGGCATGTGCTTTGTTTTACAGTTCCAGGGATGATAACAATGTACAAGAGGTCTTCAAAAAGTTCATGGGAAAGATCTGTATTATCTATTAATTCTATTTTTCCATGACTTTTTGAAGTACCCTTGTATTCCCTGGCAAGAATCACTGTAACCACTAATTGAATGAATGAACTACCTGGTTGTGGATCCTAGTAGGTTACATAACTTTTTGTATCCCAGTTTCCTCATGAGTAAAACAGAATTCGTAAATGCCTATCTTTGTTCACTAGGTTGTTAGCATTAAATAGGAATACAAGGAAATGGTTTGAAAATCAAAAAGTGTAACAAAAATATAAGCTGAAAAATCCTTGTTATCATTACTAGCTATCCTTGTGACTTATTACTCTATCACAAAACTGGGATCTGAATCAGTTTTGGTTCTCCAGCTGGTGAAGCAGATGCTCTGAGCACCAGATGTAACAGAAGAGAAAGGGAACGCTCATTTGTATCATTAAAGTAAGGCTCCTTGTAAAAGTTTCCCTAATACACCATCTCTAGCTTAGAGGATTATATTAATTTTTTTTAAATGGGAGGGGAAACTAATGGGGAAAAGTCTCTCTTTTAAGGAAGATGAAGAAAGATCTAGGAAAAGCAGGGGAAAATAGTTCCATAGACATATTTCCAGTTTCTAGTTCTTATACTGAGAAGACAGCACACAGAGAAGAAAAAAAAAAATTGAAAACAGAACTACAAAAAAATTTGTCCTGTTCAGTTTATATCCAATTCAGATGCTTAAAAGATATGTAAAATGCTTAGAACAGTGCCTGTAAATACTAAGTGCTCAATGCTTTTAACAACTTTTATTCTCCCCCTTCTACAAAAAATAAGTCATCATCATGAAGAATAAAAAGCATGGATCTGGGAGAATCCTAGATTTTACTTCTATCCTAAGTAG